CGGAGACGGCTTAGTATAAAGTGTAGATCGTCGGATTTATAATACAAAATATAGTATAAATATACTTCTGTTTACCAAATTTTGCTGAAAAATCTCCAAAATTAACAGAGTAGTCTTCGTCCAAACAGACGTAAAGACAGGCAGACGAACAGTCGGTATAAATATTACTGGTTGTTCTTCCTTTACTTGTCATTAAAATGAAAACCTTGCAACAAAAGATGTTAATCACCAAATTTTACTTGGAATTAAAATAAAGTAAAAAGGAAAAGTGTTCTTTTGCATCAAAGAAATCTGCAAAGTTTAAGTTGCTATAAAAAAATTTTCACATGCCATGGTCCTTGAAAAGTATAGTATTTTGTATGTATAATGAGAAAGTAACTTCAATCAGTTGGAATATGTTTTACGTTTGTATTTTCTTTTGAATAAACAGATTTGTAAGATATCTTGAAAATTTTTCTACTATTTGATTCCCTGAACAATTTTAAATCGAATATTTAAATTTGAAGAGAGAATTACCCAAAAATATGGAAATTAAAGCGTAAAATAAGCAGTGCGAGTGCTTAAAGCACTTTTTATAACGAAGTTTAAATAATAATTGCACACTAAATTCACAATAAGGGGGTTAATCTGCGCAATCTAACGTGGTTTAGGCCTCCTCAGAATCGATTATATTGTGTGAAAGCCTAAAGCCCACCGTCAAAAAAGTTATTTGACCTTATAAAAATGGCTTTAGATCTGGTAAATCTACCTATAACCCTATATTCATCGAGCTCTGGAAAAGACCAGTGATAAAAAAGATCGTTGAAACAAAGGTGTGCTGCTTTTTATACGGTTCTGCAAATCTGCGTATCAGAGTAACACCAAAAACTAGGCTTAACGAGGTTTCAAACGAAGTGACCTTTTATCATTCGACTTCTTTCGCTTGGAGAAAATAAAACAAGAGCTAAACAGAGGAGGTGTAACTATGGATATAATATAAATACATATATAATTACTCTATTGCTTACATACCTATAATATATGTGTATATATGTTTGTATAATATTTTCTTTCAGGAAAAATTTTACATTTCATCTTTCGTTTTTTGTTACTAATCCTATAACTCCACTTCGCATATATTTCTCACACATACTTATGCATATTTCAGTAGTAAAGTAAATGTGAGACCACACGGCGTATGAGTAATATTACTCAAACGATTGGAAGCCATAATAACAAAAAAGTTGCTTGTGGACTTTTTAAATTATGAGGTGTGAATATTATAAAAGCCACTCAAATGTATTGGCAGCGCTAAATTGTTACCTTACACAACAGAAAGTTTGTGGGTCATAGCAACAAGAAGACGGAGGAGGAGGTGGGAAGGGTAGGCGGCAGCACTTGCTTTACAATGAATGGTGCAGTGGAAATGTTCCAAAAAAAAGAAGGAAAATTGCCAACTCCACTTACTGTTTTTCCACACACTAACCGCTTCATTTACATTTTCACACCCATTCCCATTTGCAACTCCATACAAGCTCGTACGATGTGCGTAGTAACGTGGCAAAAACGAATTTTTATGTGGTGTAAGTTGCCATCTGCACGCCATGGCATAAAAACAAATTTATTGATGCCATGTTGCAATCTTTTTAACGGCGACCACATGTTGTCATTGCCACAATCATTGCTCTTGCTATTTATGCCCGTTCACATTCATTTCGCTGCTTGGTAATGCTGTTTATTGCAAATACATATGTACGAAATCGTATGTATGTATGTATGTATGTATGTGTTTTTGTGTTGTATGAGCGGTTTGCGGCTGTTGCTGTTATTAGTCGAACAACCAACCAGTCACTTAACACGGCTTTTTTCATTGCTGCAGTTGTTTTTGCTATTGTTTGTTATTGTTGTAAGGGTGTAAATGCGCATATGTGCGCGTTAGCAGATGTTGCCACATTGCCACAGGCTCTTTGGCAGGAATACAATGTGGTTGTAAGTAGTGGAGTACGGTGTTTACAATCAAGGAAAATAAACAAAGCCAATCATACAGACTTTGTACATATCTATATACATGTATGTATGTATATAGTGCAGGCGTTAGCAAGTGAAGCGCGAAAATGCTGAGGAGGATTTTATTTTTATTGCATTTTGTTTAGCGATTTCATTTTTTGGATAATCTTAGATTGAGTTATGAATTTTTTATTAAAAATAATTCCCTTATCCGTGCAAGCAGGCTAAAGTTTTTAGGTAATCTAACGAGGCCGTAACATGTGGTGGATGCTTTCGACCCCTCGAATTATCATCATTTGCATGCCAGATATTTGAAATTGGTAGGTGAGGAGCTTTTTTGTTTGTTTGTTAAATGAGGCAGCGCCTTCGCATGGCAGATGAATTTTAGTGACAAGTTTATATTTTCAAATTTGATACAGAGACAGAGTACCGACATTTCGTATCTGAAAAAGTTTAGAAAAAGTTTTTTTATGATGATTAACCAAAGGTAGCAAGTATACAGTATTGCGATATACACAAATCAAACGAAGCGAGATGGTAGTGGTGGTGGCCGTTTCTCCTAATAAATCTACATTCCCAATCAAAGAGTAGACTTCAGTGGGGTTTGTTCTTTTGAAAATTTTATTATAAAAGCTATGGAAATATGAAAATATAAAAAATTAAATTTTTCTGGTATTCAAGAATTCATACTTAATTAACAGAACAAAAATAAACTCGAGTGCCTGGAGTAAATTAAATGCATAAATATTTTTTCTAATTAAACTACCCACTATCAGTAAGTAAGCACCTTTGTTAGAAATAACTTCAAAAATACGGTTAAGGGAAGCGAATCGTTTAGCGGCTTTAAATAGTTTAATGTAAGCTCGCTCTAGACAATATTAATGGAATTTTTTGCTATCGGATTTTTTGAAATCTCCAAAGATTCTCAATTAAACTGCGATCGGAGGAGTATGGGAGCCACTCTATTAAGGGTTGGTCACTCTAGAGGTTGAGAGATATACTAATTTTTGAAATTTTTAGTAGTTATATTATATATATTAGTGTGGGAAAATGGAATAGAATCTCTATTTAACCATTTCATTGAACGTGTGTTGAAATAAAAAAAAAAATTCTTCAATCATCATTTTGGTACAAAAAGTCCATTTTTAATCCATGTTTTTTTGAAAGGTGTCCATGGGAGAACCGATTTCTTCTAAAGAATGACATCTAGTATAGAAAAACAAAAAATTTTATCATCTAAAAACTATGCTTTTTGTAAGCATGTACGGATTTATCTTTTAACTAATTTTTTGTGAAAGCGGCACACTTTTTTTTGAAGACTGATTTTTTTTTACTAAAAAATACGCACTAAATTATTAAAAAAAGTTTACATTTATTTGAAAAACGGCTACGGCTTCCAAGAAAAAAAATTGTATTTGTGAGGCTACCATCAAAATTTCAGATAAATCGATGCAGTAGGGTCCATATAATCCATCCTCCCAGTTTGAAAAATGTGATTTTGAGTACAACGCGTTTAAAGTTTTCATTATACTCAGCGCCCGCTCTGAGGGCTGCAGCAAAATAAAATTTTTTTTTTTTAATTTTAAAACCAATTGCATATCAATTCTTGGAGGACCCAAAAGTGAAAAAAATTGCGCTTTCCAAAATCCTAGAGTAGCTTTGCTGAAAGTTACAATATAAAAAGCAAAAAAATGTTGGTGAATTGGAAAAATGCTTTTTGAAGATATTCCACATAATCCGTGGCATTCGTTTTGGAAGAAATAAATTCAATGTTTATGGTGGGAGATAGAACTCCACACTATTACGCCGTCCTCGCGACTATGGTGGCGGATTCAAAAACGGTGTTGTAGCATTCTTCTGCGCGAGCTTTTTTGCGAATATTTGTTGTTTTTCGAAAGTTATGACAATGAAGTTTTCTGCCAAATTTGCTAAAATTTTAGCAAAAGCAATGCCGAACTAGCATCGCTCAGGAGGAATTGAGTGACGTCAACGACAATCCTGGTTTGCTCGAAAGGGTCATAGTTGGTGATGAAACGTGGAAGCGTCCAGTTGAGCCAAGGGAGGAAAAACCCGCCAATTTCGACTAATTGGTAGGTTTTGTTCACTGTTTTTTCGGTTACAATAACATTGTGCATCATGGGTTCTTGCTAACAAGTCGTACGGCTGATAGGGAATACTCCAACGACCCAAAACGTGCACACCGCAATATATCCATGCGTTATGTAGGAAATGGCGCCGTCTTATTGAAACCAAATGTCACCCAGATCACGAGTTTGAGGCATCAAATAGTCGGTTATAATGGTGCGATAACGGTGGCCATTGCCGATTACGCTCTCATCGGCACCGTTTTTGATGAAATATGAGCCAATGACTCCACTGGCTCACAAACCAAATCAAATCGTAGTTTTTTCTGGATGAAATGGCAGCTCTTCAGGCTCGTCCCAAATGCGGTAATTTTGCTTGTTTACATACCCACTGAGCCATAAACGTGCCTCATCGCTGATGAAAATATCGGATCTTCTTGGAACTTTTCAAGAACCCATAGAGCGAAGTGATATCACTTCGGTAGGTCGAGCGGTTTCAATTCTTGCACAAGCTGTATTTTACTTTCATTTTAAGATCTCGTTTTAAAAGGCGCCAAGTCGTACAGTCCGAGTTGCTGCGAACAGCGCCGAATAACTATTCACGGTCAACTGTACACTCTCAGCTACGGTCGCTATATTTTCTTCATTGTGTGCTGGACGCTGGACTCCAAAGCACCGAAATCAGAAGACCTTGTCATAATATGCTCTTGTATGAGGATTTGGATGGAAAATCCGGTAAGGAAGCATTGCTGAAGCTTGATATGTTCATGAAAGGTATAGAGACTTTGGCCGGTCGAAAGATAGCACTTCTTTCTTGTTATGTGTGTAATTAGTACACAAATTGTTTGTAGAAATTTTCCAATTAAAAAAAATTAAAATTTTGTTTAGTTATTTTTCATGTATTTAAACGTTCTATAAAGTTAATTTTCAAGTTTAGTGAACGTGATACGGGTTATGGTACTGCCTTGGGTATTCACCTAACTGTTGTTATTTTTGTTTTGCTTGTAAACGGCATTCAGTTTGCTGCTCTTCTTAGCACACTACGCAGGAAAGCAGCGACTTTCAACTTCGCCACATTCATTTCCACGGAATCGTTGAAATTTATGGAATCCAAGTCAGCGGTGTGGGAACAGTCTGCAATATAATCAAGTGATAAAGAGGAATGAGAAAAAAAAAACGCAAGAGCAGCAATAACAATTATTAGAATGACAACAAAGTAGATACTAATTAGCATAACTAAACAGTAAAATTCCGACGGCAACGAGTGATCATTAAACGTAAACTTGCCAACCGACCAGCCACTAGGCGGCAGCAACCTGCCTAAAAAGCCAAAAAATAAGAATTATGAGCAATTGCGCCTAATAATACGACTCTGCATACTGTTTGCTGAATAGCAGCAACAAAATTTTACAATTTCTAACTGCCTAATGAACCAACCCACAGATTAAACATTGCGCACTTGACGCAAAAAGGTGGCGGCTGACCATTAAACTACATAGCACTTGACTACCTCGCTGTTTGAACGGTTATTGTTGTTGTGGCAGCTCAACTCACCTGGTATGGTAATGACATTTTTACCCTCTTGCAGGCCAACACCACGCCAGGGATCTAGTTGGCCGTGAGTGAAGATGACACGCTGTTGTAGCGCAATGGCAGCGGTTAGGCCGCCAAACTGGCTGTTTGTCTGTTGAACACTAATGGAAATGTCGCCAACACTACCGCTATGCGCAGCGGTATCCGAGTGCGGATCAAAGACAACGCGACAAAGTTGTTGAAAATAATTGAGTGACACTTGGCGGCCAAATGAGTATTGCAGTGGAGACCACTGTGCGTGGCGGCGTGTTGTTGGCATCTGACGGATGTCCTTTGGGCGGGCGTTTTGTCTGCCACTTGTGGTAGTGATGAACCAACCAAATTCGTGGCAGCTCTGATAGAACCATTGCCGTGCTGCGAGTAAATGGAAATTAATTTTAATATTAATTAATCTGCGAGTTTGCAGCTTCCACGTGACAAGCCTGCGGGTGGCATTGCCTCGTCATTAATGGTACTCACTGCCGCTTAACAGTTCCGTTGTGTCTGTAAATATAGACTTCATGCCTTCATAAGACAAATCGATGCACCAGTCTTCAGCGTATTTGACACTCTCCGCCTCTGGCCAAAATATGCGCCTCACAAATTGAATGAAGGCCGTCGAATCGTCATAATCTGTTGGCGTAATTAATGGCGCACAAATGCTGGCGATTTGGTCACTAAATTAAGTTTTGGAAAGTATAAATTTAACGAATCTCCATGCTACTGGAATACTTACTCATATAGTTGTGCGTACGCGGCGAAATAATTCCCAATGCCATTGAAGAGTGCAGCCCGATCCAGCGGATTTGTTGGCTCGAAGTTATTGCATACGCGTAAAGCCTGCAGCAGTTGACTCGCATTGGAGGACTCCAGTTGTGTGGCCATACTGATAAGACCGCTTTCAAGTCGTCCAGAACACTGACGCCCACCACGATGCTCAACAACTTCGCCAACTTGCTGCATGTATTCTGTGAATAAGTGAACCCTCAACTATGCATACTGGCATTCGACAGAATGGAATTCATTAGGCTAAGGCCCAAAGGTAGCTCACGAGCCAGATTAGGGTAAAATTTGTATACAATATCACTTTCTAATCGCGAGATCCCTTAGCGCTAAGAACTGGAGGAAGATCTATAATCTGAATAAGTGCAAATCGTTTAAATAATGACCAGATAAGGTTTAAGCGCGGACTGATGGACTTGAAGGTTTCATACGTAAGCTACCACCTTTTTTTCGTCAAACTTTGACTCATTCTCCATAGCGAGTTCTTACTGTTCTTCTACCAGACACTTCTTCCTTTACAGCGGTGCTAGGAAGAATTATAACAAAGTTCCTATAAAAACAAATTGGAAAGTCTCTGCCTTGACACATAGATGGCGCTGTTGGCATTACATCCATATGTTAAACCTAACCTACAAAAGACGCGTGTATAAATTTGATAGCTTTTGGTTCATTAGTTTGAGAATTATAGCATTCTGAGTGAAGCAATTTTTGTGAATGGGAAAAAATCGACAAACAGAAATCTCGCGAGTTGATAAAAAATTGCTTTTTGAAGGAAAAAAATACTGCTGAAGCAATAACTGGGCATGACGGCGAACATTCGCCTACTACCCCACCATCAATCAACCATCCTGGATAGGTATGCTAAGTTTAGGCGTGGTGAAATTAGCACGGAAGACAGTGAACGCAGTGGACGCCCAAATGGGGTTGTTGCCGACGTAAACATCAAAAAAACCCACAAAACGATTTTGAGTGAGCTTAAATTGAAATTGAATGAAAGAGCAGGCACTCTAGAGATATCAACTGAACATATACAGGATGTATATCAATCGCGGGTATTGAGAAAGCTCTATGCAAAACGGTTGCCACGCGAGCTCACCTTTGACCAAACACAACGGCAAGTTGATGATGCGGAGCAGTGTTTGGAATTCAAGTGTAATAAACCCGAGTTTTTGTGCCCACCATATTCCCCAGATCTGGAGCTCACCTCTGAACACCAACCAATAAATTTGCCAGTTTAAAAGAGGAGTGGCCATTCCGCAAGAAGTTCAACCCCAAATTCATTTAAGAACCAAACAGTTCCAAGATTAATTCCAGGGAATTATTTAACATGATCTTTCCCATATCCTAATCATCCTCACCCTCCTACGCACCAAGCTTAGACAGACTTACTGGTAAAAACCACTTGTTTCATTTCACGATGCCAGTTTTTGGCCACGTGTGTAGAGAAATAGCTTTCGAGATCACTCATGGCTATCTAAGGTGAGTGCACAAAAAAGCTATGCAGTTAACCGCAATTCCATGCAAAGCTATCTCCGTGGGTAGAGTTTTAAGTAAGCCGAGCATCATGTAGAAGCCGCAAAGAATTCTCAATTCTTCATGTTCAATATCGCAATTATTGGGTACTGCAAGGACGTCACGCCTCTAACGAGATTGCCTTTTATACTGGAGCACTCACACCGTTTGTTCACGAGAGCTGCCAAACTGTATTCCAACTCACTACTTTGTATATCATTATACATAATTCAGTTCTAAGACAGTTTTTCTCCACAAGCTACTAGATGTTGTCAACTCCAATAGCTGGAGACTTATCTTTTTAAAGCATAAAGGAAACAAAAATCTAGCTTACCACGAAAATCCATTTTTGCCACTAACGGAGCACTCGACGCCCAACCAGCGCTTATTAAATCCGGATATAATTTAGCGAACCAAGCCACCAAGCTGCCAGAATAAGAGGCACCTGCTAGTATGACTTTTGTGTGTGCCAAACCGACTTCATTGGCCTTCAGCTGACGTATAAAATGCGCTAAATCAGCCAAAGCCTGGCGGGCGCTTAAATATCTCAAATTTTCCACTGCGGCATCACTGAAAAATAAATTAAAATTTTAACGCTGATTTTGTTTTCACTTTACCGCAATATCTCACACCGCAGGCCAACTTTGTCCATAGAAACGATGCTCCACATAATAGAGCACACCACCATGCTGTCTGGCTATGTCATGCAGATGTCCTGTCAGCAGATAAGCTGGAGAGATTTCCCACTCACCACCCACAAATATATATATGGGTCCATGTGGGGGCTGTTGGTAACGATCGTTGCGTAAATAACGCTGCAGGCAATGCGAATTGGATAAATGAAAAATGTGTTAAAGAATTTTCAAAGCGTAGTTTAACTTGATTTAAATAAAAGTTTTTGACTAAAATGAATGTACAATATATATATTATGTTTTGTACATGTGTGAGTTAGCTCACCATCAACCAAGTTCGGTTATTCGTTGCATCAAAGTGATCCAACTTTTGCTCCAACCACAATTCCTGCACCAAATCTTTTTGTAGCGAATTCTCCGTTGCCCTCAATGGCGGCTCTCGTAGGAGTGAATGCAGGTGCTGAGTGTAAGGATTTATGCGCTGTTGCACAATTTCCTTCTTTACCGTCATCCCACAGGTTGACCTCAGCTCGAGAAAAACACCTTGACACACTAAAAATATGAGAATTTGCAATAACATTTTCATGTGAATATTTAAAATTCTATGAAGTGCTGTCTTGTCTCTGGGGCTGTCTCACAGGTGACGGTTCACTGACATTTGTGGCCGTAACTATGACAGCTCAGACCTATTTATGTCCACATTTTCAGCAGGGAAATGTTTTAATAATTCACAGCAAATAATATAATTTTTAGTAAGATTACGAACACATAGACTAATACATAGCCACACACACACACATACGCACATATTGTATATTTCGAAGAAGCGGTCTCTCGCTCAAACCCGTTATTATTAACCCGCATGTCTTTCGGCAATTTATTATAATGATAAATAGACACATACATACATAAATATGTATGTATGTACTTATTTGTAGATAGATATGTACGTATCTAGTTTCGATGTAATAAATATGCAATTAAGCAAGCCCTTGCATACGAGGTCATTAATAATTATAATTATTGCCCATGTGTATGCTCTGGTACATTTTTTTTATGAATTGCAGAATGCGTTTGCTCTTTGGCATAAATATTTAATTACGATATTTATCAAGTTCAAGTTTAAAAGTATAGCACCTGGTATATATACAAACGATTAAGTGGGTGATGTGGATTCGCCTTCATTATATATATAATTGGCGCTTTGTAACCGCTGAAGCGGTGTTCGGCCGAGCCCCTGAGCTGATGGTTCTTACAAGATTGCTTTATTCCATGTCAGAAATACACTCCGACGGATTGACATCAGGATTTGAACACGGGCCTTCCGAATGGCAGTATGCAATGCTAATCACTCGACTACCGCGGCCGTCAATGCCTTCTTTGGTTACTTAAATTTCAGAGAAAATGTTAAATAAATGCGAAAATATAAGTATGTATGTATATGCCTGTGCCGCGTTGGTAAATAAATATGTCAGAAAGGAAAAATATATATAAGGTTGTCAAATATCTCCCTTCCGCTTTTTTGTCTTTTGAATTTCGCGGCTATGTCCAAAGCGCTACAGAGCTCGCATCTGGCAACACTATACATAATTTGAAAGGTCTTGACATATCCTACAAAACAACACTATGCATGTATAGTTTGGATATTGCGTTCAACAGTTATAGATGTGTAAACATGGAGTTAACTAAGGCCGAAATTCGCGCTGTTTTAAAGTTTTCCTTCGTTAAAGGCAAATCCGCTAGAGAAGCATTCCGTGGGATTAATGGTGTTTTGGAGGATGGTACTCTATCACTTCGAACCGCGGAGGAATGGTTTCGACGATTCAGAGCCATGGTTAAGCCAGCCAGCGGAAGACCTGTGACCACAAATACCGATCAAATCATGGAATACATCGAGTTAGACCGGCTATGGCATCTCGTGACATCGCCCAGGAGATGGGAGTTAGTCACCAAACCATTTTGAACCATCTGCAGAAGGCTGGATACAAAAAAAGTTTAATGTTTGGGTGCCGCTTAATTTGACGCAAAAAAACCTCCTGGACCGAATCAACGCCGGCGATATGCTGCTGAAACGGAACGAACTCGACCCATTCTTGAAGGGGATGGTGACTGGCGACGAAAAATGGATCACTTACGACATTATCAAGCGAACGCGGTCGTGGTCGAAGGCCGGTGAATCGTCCCAAACAGTGGCCAAGCCGGGGTTGACGGCCAGGAAGGTTTTGCTGTGTGTTTGGTGGGATTGGAAGAGAAACATCCACCATGAGCTGCTCCCATATGGCCAGACGCTTAATTCTACCGTCAACTGCGAACAACTGGACCGCTTGAAGCAGGCGATCGACCAGAAGCGTCCAGAATCGGCCAACAGGAAGGGTGTAGTATTCCACCAGGACAACGCCACACACTTCGTTGATGACTCGTCAGAAGCTACGGGAGCTCGGATGGGAGGTTTTATCGCATCCACCATATAGCCCGGACGTAGCGCCAAGTGATTACCATCTGTTCCTGTCAATGGCGAATGCCCTTGGTGGTGTGAAGTTGAACTCAAAATAGGCTTGTGAAAAGTGGCCGTCCGAATACAATTATTAACGAGGCTTGAGTTTATAGGTTATAGTATCCGTGTCTATAGTTGCCTTCCTTATCCTCGCATTGCTGCGCATTATAAATAGCTTGGAAGATACTAGCAGATTTCGGTAGGCGAAAAGGAAGGAAGATTTTCATAACCTTCGGAGGATACACTGGAATCCATTAATGTTTTTCTCAACTAAACTTGAAGTATTGGCTTGTATTATAAGTTCGTAGAGTTTTGCGTTTTGAGCTATTTTAGAACGATTTATTTTGTTGTTTGGCAAATTGTGTATATTCATTTGAGAGAGCTCTACCTCTTTAGATTCGATTTTTTGTAATTTTTCATGTTCAGAAATTGAATATCCAGGAGGAAAAAAATCAGCATTTTCGATGTCAACAAGATGCTTTACATTGCCCAGCTGAACTGTATAAATGAGTTTATTTGGCTGAAAAGATCTGATAAACAAAGCCGATATCGCCAGGCTCCATGTTGCCCTAGTCGTCAAAACAGCACTCTAAGAGCTCGAATGGGGGTCCACCGTAGTCTCCAGATCTTGCACCTACCGACTATCACCGAAGAGTACCTTAAAATCTGGCTCATAAACTTGATCGACAGCAGGCCGGCCAACAAATTGGTCGCTTTATTTTTTTATATTTCAATATTCATCTTCTAGTTCAGTTTGGTGTCAATCTACACTCATTGCTATTTTGTTGTAGAGGATAGGGTATTTGTAGTGTCGTTGAAGGAAGTTGAAATTGAGGTGTTTGGGTTGTTATCCTAAATAGAAACAGCTTCGTCTTACCAGCCGCAAAATTGTGCAACCTATGTAAGGTCCTCCCTACAATCACTCATTCCTACTACATTCATTTCCCCTTCCGCAGAGTTTAAGTAGAATTTCGTTCAGCTACACTACCAATAGAACCAATAGATGCGGGCATAAATGAAATGTGGATACATAAACTCCTCTACCAAGGAAACTTCAAAAACTATAGTAAGGGTCAAGTGGTGTTACAGTTATACCATTTAGATGTTCTAATGACGGAGTAGTTAAACAAGTCGTACATTTTTTTTGCTCACCAGGTTGTTATGACTACTTGTTTTTTGTCTAAGCTTGGGGGGTAGGAGGAAGAGGATGTTTGGGAGTAGGGAAAGTGAGTTAATTTAATATTCACTTTGCAGAAACTGGTATTGTACGCGCAACTAGGGGGCACGTTTATAAAACTGAATATTTAAATGTACTTAAAAAAAGAAATGATTTATTATAAGCAAAAGACACATTCTTTATTCCCGGCCTACTAAGCAACCTAATACTCTGCACGAGTTGTTAAGCGAAAATTGGCTACCTAACGCTTTAAGTAAGCCAATATTTCACACGAGGCGCAAGGTCAGCAATACGCCGACAGAGGGCTGCAGGGTATCGTCAAACGGCTTGGATTGAGCCAAGTTAGGGAATATTTATATTAAACTGATACTTACTAAGATAACTTTTCTAATTACACGGGATGTCAGCACCTCCGAGTGTATTTTTGACATGAAATGAAGCTCCTCATAAAAACTTGCCCATATTGCAGCTGAGAGCGTACCCTCATCTCATATTCTAAGGTTAGCAGGAGTGTCAGATCGGGAAACACTCAACAGCTAATGAGCAAATGCACTAGAGCTCTAGATACCCGGTAATCGAGCATTGTGAACAGATCGATACTCGCTCGATACTCATTCGTTGCTGAACTGCTCAAATGATTGTTTAAATTTTAAATTTTAAATGTTGTTTGTCAAAATTTCTTTAGCTCGTACTGAAAAATTTTTGAGCAATGAGCTATGAACGAGTGCGCGACTACTCATTCTTCAATTACTTAAGCAGCTCGGAAATGTTCGAACAAAATCTTAAGCTCTAATGGGCACCCCACCAAACACACTATATAAATAAAAAAAATTCCACTATTAGTTTTAGAAGGAAATATTAGGAAAAAGTTCGTTCAGTTGTTTTATTGATTTTTCAAAATATAATAACTTTGTGTACATTTGTCCGATTTAAGTCAAACATGCGCCGTTTTGTTCATAAACTTGTTACCAAAGAGATGCCATGCCATTATACCCCTCTCGTAGGAGGCTGCGTCCCAATTGGCAAACAAATCGGAGAGCCAATTTTCACAGGCCTCTCTTGAGTCGAACTTCTCACCATTGAGCATGTTCGCCATGGACAGGAAAAGATGTTTTTCCCTTAGTGCCAGGTCCGGAAGAGAAGGTGAATGCATTAGGACCTCCCATCTGAGTTCCTGGAGCCTCTGGCGTGTTACCAAAGACGTATGTGGCCTGGCGTTGTCCTGATAGAACACAATTCGGCCTCTGTTGATCAAAGATGGCCCCTTCTGGATGAGTGCTGCCTTCAAGCGGTCCAGTTGTTGGCAGTAGATGGCGTTTGGCCTTAGGGGAGTAGCTCGTAGTAGATGATACCTTGCCAACCCCACCAAACACACAGCAAACCCTGGTGAACATCGAAATTACCGGAACGGAACCAAACAAACCACTTTTGTGCTACACGTTCGTTTACAGTATCGGGATCATAAACTAAATAAATCTTTTTCATGAAAAATATTTGTAAAATAATGCGATAACTCCAAAGAATTGCGAACATGTCTTTGGCAAGGTTCGATAGACCTTTCCCTACAAGAGGATATGTGATGGAATGAGAAAATATATCACTTTCTTATTTGAGCAGTAGATGGCTTTAGTGATCTGATTCTCGGGTTCTATAAGTGCGAATGAATTACGCTAGATGGCATTAGAAGAACGATATTTTGTACTAATAAGAAGAAGTGCTGATCATTTAACTCAGTAGTCTTTGATCACAAGTCAAAGATGGACATCACCAAGGGGAAAATAGTTCTACGTTTTTTCATCGATAAAGGCGAAAGCGCTTGTCACACCGCTGAAAGTGTGGGAACCAACACTGCATAATTTAGGTTTCGTTGATTTCCTTAATTTCGTTCCGTTTATTACCGGAGATTTGTTGTGGTGGTGAGATTGTAGTAGGTGAGGTTGGCAAGGAATCAACTACCATGAGCTGCTTCTCTACGGCCAAGCACTTTAATCGGATGTTTACTGTCAACAATTGCACCGTCTGAAGGAAAGAACCGCCCAGAAGCACACAACTTTTATCAAGAGGCGGGGAATTGTGTTTAATCACAACAACGCCAAACTAGTCATCATGCTATACATCGCTAATGATTCGTCAGAAGTTTCAAGAGTTTGGTTGGGAGGTTTTTATCATCAACCTTAAAGTCCGGACCTCGCATCAAGTGATTACCATCGGTTCATGTCTAAGGGGAATTATTTGGCTGGTGAAGAATTGTCTTTAAGAGAAGTTTGTGCGAATATATGGTCCCAAGTTCGTGGTAATAGGAACAAGGGTTTCTTTTGAAATAGGAAAAAGTTACCTCTAGGTAACTCTAACTATTTTAAAGAAAGCTTTCAATTGAATTCGGGGAGTTGAGTCAAAACTCAGTCAAAAATGCATCCAAGAAAAGCAAGAAATTCGATATTGGAATAATTTAGCTTTCTTTTTCTCTTCAAACCAAAGCGTTTTGAGTACAGACATACATAATACTTTAACTGCTTTTCAACATTACCGCAATAATTATTTAATTATCAATAAGCCACCTACACTTCTTCTTGAGTTCTGTCAATGGAAAGCAACTTGATTTGAATTTATTTGCATGCAACAAAGTCATAGGAAATACCAACACACATATGTACATATAAGTATGTGTGTATTGTATGTAAGCGCATAAGAAAATTATCCGGCAGCAGCAATATCAGGATGCTATTTACTGCTGATTACAAGAGCGTAAGGCATGCAAGTTAATCTTCTTCTTCTTGTAGACTGCGAAAAGCGCATTTACCACTGCAACCACATATATGCATGTCATGCTAAAAGCATTAACATTTTTATAGATATGTATATACGTAAGCATATATTACTTTATCCCCACGCACACACACACAAGCATGTAGTGTGGTCGGAAATGCGCGGGCGGCTAAGTACTCACTGACGAATCAGAGTTGCCGCCTTCGTGCAATGTGTGTGGGCGTATGTGAGAAGGGTTGATGTGTGAAATTCAATGCAACTGGTTAAATGAGAATGTGTGTGTATTTGTGCTGCTCATACGTGATTTTGTTCATTTGCGTAAATTGTAAAATTGTGTGGGCGGGTGTTTTTTTTTTGTTTTTTTTTTGTTTTTTTTTTTGTTTTTTTTTCTGGTATGTGGTATCTGCAAGCTTTTGCTTTTAGCGTATCTTTGCTGATATGTGGGTTTACTCCACTTATTCTGTAAAGCTTATTGTCAATTGGTTGTTGCGATCCTCAAATCTTGTTGCTTTGTCTGTTTTATGTCCACAATTGGCTATGTGTTTTTTTTGGGAGTATTGTTGATCCAAGTAATGTTTGAGAATATTCCAAGCAATAAAAATGCCTGGAGCCACTTAGCCGTATGAGCTGAGCCGCAGTTTGTTGAAACTTTAAACGCGTGTTTCTTGAAACAACGCAATAACGATCGCCCTGGATGATAAATAATTTTCTATGCAATGGATTGATTGAGATTCTCACTTCAGATATACGTGTTGAGGGCGCCGGCACGAACCAGCAATCAAATCCTAAATAATAAAAAGAAACAAATAAATAAAGAGGGTGTCAGTAGAAATACTAACTTTTATTGAATTAAATCCAAATATTACATTTTTAAGCATACAGTGGCTCTCAAATTTTTAAGGCTTTTGGCTTAAACACAACGAAACGTGTACTCGTTGTCCTAATTCGGTATGATGCGTTCGGAAAGACCATACGTTAACGAGTATTCCGTTAAGAACTGTCAATCGTTTACAAAATTGTGTACGTAAAGAATTAAGCAATAAAAATGTAAGTAATTTATAACAAAATATTATCAAAAGTATTGTTGAATTAATAAAAAAAATTATGATTAATATTGAAAATGAGTTCATCGCTGAATTCTTGTGGTCACATCCAAATTTAGCCAAAAAAATGTTTTGCCTAACTGCACACAGAGCAAAGCAACTGCTATTAATTTAAGGGAGGGGTTGAAACGAAAGCTCAATATTCTTGGCCCGCTTGTTAATGAAAGCTTCTTTGGCCATGCGAAAACTTATCGCATCTAATGGTGATTTTTGGGAATTTTGAATAAAAAAAATACTTTATCAATTATTTCAAAATTTTAAGAATATATTTATATTGTACATGTTTCAAGACTATACAGTGAAATTTTTGAAGAAAAAAAAAACCTTTTTTTGTTATAGTCGATCTCCAACGGCGCGATAAAAAGGTTCTTCTCTGCTGCAGTGATTCTGGCTTTCTCCGTAGATGAAATCTAAAAAAAAAATTATCGATAAGATAATATTGTCTGTACAATGACATACGATAAAAAAAAATCAAAAATTCACAATACGGCGGCGTTTAAAAAAAAATAGTCGAATATGACCCAAAACTTTGGTCGTTTTCAGCTAAGATCAAAAATCGATAGGTCATTGTACGGAGAACTATATACAGAACATGTAAAATAATTCGATAGTGATCGGATAATTTGCTTTTGCGTAATCACTGCAGCGAATTCGGAAAATGCTGTTTCGAGAAAAACCCGTTTAAAGATAAAATGATCGTTTTCACTCGTAGCTAATGAGACTCTCTAGCTGTCGCGCGGCTGCTCTTTAAATTGTTATAACTCAAAAACAATTTGAGATATCTATTTGAAATTTTAATACGTTATTTTTAAAGGTGTAATCTACCGAAATATGAAAAAGTATCGATTTTTTTAAACTTCACACTAGGTGTGCCCCTTAATCTACCCCGAGCTAACATAGCGAAAGCCCTAATTTACAAAGTGTAAGTAAAGGATATTGTTTCCAACACATATACATATGTATGCATGCAATACATATACAAATAATGGTCCATTAATTTGTTGTTATAAACAAATTCAGAACTAAACATTAAATTAGTTCCAATCGATTTCTATTTATTCTTTTCGGAATCGGAATTTCGAAATGATTTTAAGGCCGATTTGCGTCTCTTTCATTAAACTCAAATATCAAAAGGCTCACGCGAAATGAGTTTTGTTTTTTAATTGTTTGGAAAATAATTTTTAGTTGTTGTTTTAGAGTTTTTGGCTTTTGGTGTTGAGCATTATTCTAATGCTTGAGTAGTGGTATTTGGATTAAATCCTTGAACACCAGACAGCTGCTATGTGCTCTCTATTGAAACTTGTGTGTGGGAGTATGTAAATACACAAATAATGGTTTATATTCAATATTTAATATTATGCTTTATGTTTTTTTGATAAATATATATTATATAAAGACTACAGTATTTAAATAAGTTTTAGATCGACTCTATATTTATTGCATTTTGAAAACTTCCCTTACTTGCAAGCTTTCCATTCTGAGCACCTTACCGAAAGTAATAGTCTTGGAGTTGTAAAAATATATCCCCTAATTTTACTTTATAAATAGCTTAACACAAATAAAAATAATTGGTAGTAATTTAAAATTATAAAATAAAAAAATTTTTATACCCAAACCAAGAGTATATTTTTAGCAGCAGTTTTATTTATTTATATTGACTTTCATAGTTATAATTTGTGTAGAGATTCCGATTTTACAGTATTATAGAAATAGATAAAAATTAAAAAAAATATATCAGAATATTATGATTAATTATAATTAAATATATGGTATTCAAAACCATTCTCTTTGAATATTTCGAGAGCGCTTACAGTTAGTATCAGAAAATGAGTTACAACCGTGGGAACGATTATTTTTTCGATGTTTTCTCTCAATGCGATGCTCTCATTACCATAATGTTGCCAGATAACAAAATTATTTCTAATTATTATTTGTTTAGTTTTGAAATTATTTTATTGATAGTATTTTATAATTAGGTCCTCTCTTATTGTAATAATATTTTCCCTTTTTTCCTCTAAAACTTGAATGCTTAAGGAGAGTAATGTCAATCAGAAATCGCCAATCTTATCTGTAAACCCTGTTTGCCTTGTGGATAATTTGATAACTGAGTAATTTATATTTTAGTTATTATGGGAAAAAGAAATTTTTTTATATAAGTAGTTTGACAATATCATTTTAAGTGATCAGGTTATGTTAGACACATTTCCTGTTTAAAGTGTGGACGACGGTTCCTAGAAGGAGAGTTTATCAGCGACCTGTAAGTGGCACATACCATTGATGCGACAACACAATGATGATGCAGAAGGCATTTCTCTTCCTCACCCGCAAAAGAAAATTCAAAATTATCATCAGAAGGCGAAAATGTCATAATTGTAATTTATAACACTCACATGCAATATATATATAATAAAAAAATTTATGTGGCAACTTTTTCAGCGTATCCTTTAAACTCTCACGCTCACCATTAAATGCGTGTAGGACATCCCTACTCTAAGCTCTCTTCAATTAGCTTCGTGCAACCATGTCCTATTATCGTCACAACTTCGTGTACGAATAGTGCATGCCGAGTTGGTATATTAGGATAGCGAAAAGCTTCCATAGATTCAGTCGAGTTTTAAACTTACACTCAAGTGGAGTTGCGATTACGAGTTGTTGGCTCGTACTCAAACGTACAGTAGATGCTTGTGTAGTGTAGTTTGTTTGCTAGTAAAAGAAATTATTTTAATAACATACAGTATACATATATTTACCCAAATGCATATATGTATATAATTATATGTAAACGATTTGAAGAAACAATTATTTTAAAGAAAAAAATTGATGAAGTTTTTTTTGTTGGTTGTTGCTATTTGTGATAAGAAGTGTAGTGTTGGAATTATTAATCCGTTTTTGAACAAAATTTATGATATATATACGAATTAAAAACATATTATTTTTTACCTCTCGTATTTTTGGTGGATATTGTGCTGGAGAATTGTGTGCTTATGGTGTAAAGAGTAAAGTTATAATAAAAAGAAAATAACAAAAAGAGACATAACTCATGAAATTTCATGAAGTAAGATTGAACGTAAAGTGCCTGCTTTTATAAATGTTGGAGTCTGTAAAAATAAAATAAAATTTAACTACTTCTTATTTTATAGCTTCCAGGTGTAATTTGACAAAGGGTAGATAATCAAAAAGAAACAAAATTTAAGAAGTACCATTGTTGAGGATTCAAGTTTGATAGGGGTTAAAAAGAACAGTTAGTGTTAAGTAAAGTATGTCGTGTTGTTTTAAAAGCAAATTGAAGTAATTCTGCAGGGGAAATTACTTGCGGATAAAGACACATCAACAATGACTTAATTAAATTATCGGAGGACAGTTAAAGTGATAAAATCGGACAAAAAAAAATTTAAAAAAATTAAATTAAAGAAAATAGAATAAGTACAAAATAGAATAGAATAAAATTAAATAAAAACAAATTAAATTAAATAAATTAAAATAAACTAAACAAGATAAAATAAAAACAATAATGAAATAAAAAATTAAGTAAAATAAAATGATATCAAATAAAAATAATAAAGAAAAATAAAAAAAATTAAAATTTCATTAAAATTAATATTAAATTAAATTGAATTAAAGATAATAAAATAAAATTAATTAAAACAAGTTAAAATAAGACAGAATAAAAACATTAAATAACAATAAGATAAAAAAATAATATTGAATAAAAAATAGAATAGAAGAAAATAAAATTAGAAATATTTATTAAAATTAATTAAGGTAATATATGATAGAATAAAATAAAATAAGACAGAATAAAAACAATAAACAATAACAACTTAAAAAATGAAATAAATTAAAAACAATAATATAACACAAAAATAAAAAAGTAAATAATAATAAAATAAATATTTAAAAAAAAATAATTAAATACAATAAAGTAAAATGAAATAAATTAAAGGTAAAAAAAATAAAGTCAGAATAAAAACATTAAAAAACAATATAGATAATAAAAAAAAAATAAATTAAAATAAGATATGATATAATGAAAGAAAAATAAAATAATAAAATAAAACAAAAATAAAAAAAGTATAATAAATTCAAAATATAATAAAAATAATAAATAATAAAAAAATGAAATAAAGTAAAATTAAATAAAGTATTATTATCTTTACAAGAAAAAAAAATAAAAAATATAAAATAAAATGAAATAAAAAATAAATAAAATAAGATTAAAAAAAAATAAAATATAAAAATATGAAAGAAAATAAAATAAAATCAAATAAATAAAAAAATTTAAATTAAATAGAATATAAAAAAGTAAAATAAACCATAAGAAAATATAAAGCGTATACAAATTAAGAGAGAATAAAATAAAATAAAATTTAATTACAATAAATTATTATTTAATTATTATAAAAATATTCAAGTAAAATAAACGCTAAGTAAATTATAAAAAAATAAATATAAAATAGAATAAGAGAGAATAAAATAAAACAATTTAAAATAAATAAATAACAATTTAATAATAATTAAAATAAAATATTATAAAACAAAGTAAGATATAATGGAGAAAATAAAAATCAATTTAGAGAAATGAAAATACAATAAATACAATTTTTTACTGATTTATTCATATTAAAATAAAATGAAAAAAAAAAAAATGAAATGAGTTATTATAAAGTACAATGAAAAAAATAAAATTTATCGGAAAAAAAAACAAAAAAGGAAAATAAAAAATGAATTAAAGTAAAATACTATAAAATAAAATGCAATAAAATAAATGAGAAAATTGAATTATTTTAAATACAAAATAAAAATAAATTAAAACGAAATAATATTATTTAAAATATTTTTTTTAATATAGGTAAAATAAAATAATCTAGAATGAAATAAAGAAATAAAAAACAAATTAAAATTAAAATAAAAGAAAATTTGTATTTAAATTAATGAGTTAAAGTAAAATACAATAAAAGCACTATAAAATTTAAGCAACTTTTTGGATTCATCTAGGTATACCTCCACATGTACAATACAAGCCGAAAATCGCTTCAAACGGTTATATTGCGTGTATATAATAATAATAGCATTACTTAGTTAAAAGAAACTTTCGATTAAATTTCACTTACTTCTACAGAAATAAAATTATCTCTATAATTTCTTCTCACACGGACAGAGCTACTTCTTTGCTTATCAGCGCGCTTTATAAGCTTTATTGCATATGTATTGTATGTATGTATACAGTTCACTTCAAAGTAAATACACATAAAATAATAGCAGCAGTCTCATAAATACAACACTGTATTACTGTCAAATAGTTAACCGGCCTAGTGAAGATAGATAGTGCACATATACATACATACTATGTATGGCTGGGGTAATCTCATAAATCATTGCCTATTTTGCGGCGCTAGGCAATGTACATAAATCTTATGCCTCGCACGTTTTTAAACAATCAATTTTAATTGTTTTCAGATGTTATGTGCGCAATAAAAACAGGGTAATTAATTGCTTTTTTTATTTCTGATCAATCGTTGTTTAATGAGGGCTCTGTGTACATTCAATTGATTTTCCCTATTTACCTATGGTGAAAGAGTGCTACTGAAGTAGAAAATTTAATATAAATAAACGCAGGTAGTTGACAATTGTATATTTCATTGAAATATTGTAGACTTTTAATACAAATTGACGCTTTATAACCGCTTAAGTGATTTTCGGCCAAGTTCATTCTCCAATTTGTGATGTGGGTCTTGAAGTTTTTCTTACAAATGGAGGGACTACAGTTCATTGTAGTTTATAATGAAGAATACTCTATTCTATGTTAGTATTTTATGTTAGAAATTCATACAAAATAGTTGGCTTTCATTGCTTGTGGGCAATTCATGCGGAGGGTCATGAAAATAATAATTGAAATATTAAAAAACTTATATCAACCAAGAAGACCATATCTTGACCCCAGCTTTGCGGATGCATTTTTTTGTGTACGCAATTTATTGTCACCCATTGTTGTACTTTGCCAATACATACTTGTCGATTTTTCAGATATCCTCTATGATTTCCTTTCCATATTTTCGCTACAAATTTCCATTTGAAATTATTTATGCACAATTGTGCAGCCCAAAAGTTATCTTTCTCAGCACTCTCACAAAATTTATCGCTAAAATAGAAGTACTTAGCATTTAAACTGCTGTTTTGTGAGTTTTGTAGAGAATTTTGATTCGCCATGCGTCACACACAGCTGTCGGCATTATTTTTTCAAATGCGACTTTTTGCTTGTGGAATTTTAAATGTTCGCTGCAGAGTAACATTCCAGCCGCCGCACTCTGCAAAAAAAAAGAAAAGTTTTGCAAAAGTGTAGCACTTAGCATTTGCGGCTTAACTTTCTGAGCTTTCGTTTGTTTTGTTACCTTTTTTTTTGATTGTAGTCATTATTACATTTATAGCCTAGCGCTTGCTATTTCCTTCCTTCACATGCGTGCACTTGTCAGTGTGTGTGTGTGAATGTATGGCTATGAGTGGCGCTTTATATCCGTACACGTCTAAAATGTGAGAATTTATGGCTTGTGTGTTGTCCTTGATTTGCCGGCGGTTTCATTGCTTCGCTGCTGCCACTCTATTGCAAATATTTGTTTGTATGTTTAAGCTATTTAGTCCTTTACAACTGTTGCTATGCTAACTTATTGGCTCTTTTGTTTGTTTACTTACCTGCGTTACAGCTCAACTCATTTGAATTTCAAAATTCTATTTTACTGTTAACACAATGTACATACATACATACATACATACATACAGTCATATTCGTACTCGTACATGCTGTATGCCGTTACTGTTATTATTCTACTGTTGGTGTTATTGCTTTGGTTGCTTTGTCAGCTCAACGAATTTCAGCTTGATTTTTATTTACTCACTTTGCTCTCTCGGTAATGGCGAATGATACTGTGTGTTTTCATTGGTTTTGTTTTTGTTTATTGGATTTAAATCCATATCTATTAACGGCTGTTGCCTCTGTTATTTCGAGGCGAACTGTTGGTGTTCGAAATTTGCATTTTCGTAATTTATGACTTTGAAAATTCTCTAGCAAGACGTCAATATTTCAGGGATTTGCTTGCACTCTTTCATACTCCTTCACCGCTTCCACTTCTACCACAATCCTTGTTTGCCAACTTGTTAATTTTGTCTTCTTTCGTTGGCGCTCTAGCTAAAATTAACAAATAATTTGTGTTGAGTCATCGCAAACTAATTAAATCGAAACTGTATGAGTTAAGCTGTTGGTTGTTTTGGGTCTTAAGCTGGAGAATCAAACGCAATGCGATTTTGAGTCATTCAAATGTGGCTTAAAGTTTGTGTTAAGATATTATTGAATATTCCTTGACTAAAAAAAAAAATTATGCAAATCAATTCCGATTATTTTTGCTTACTTCGATTGGACATAAACGATATTCGATATCGAATAATACAACAATAGATTATATGGCTGATGTTGGCGCAGTGGTAGAACACTCGCCTGTTAAGTCAGGATCCGTTGGCTCGATCCCTGCCATAAGAAGTCTGATGAGGAGATGTGGTGAACTCCGAAACAGCTGTCGCTTCTACCATCTTTCTTTGTTGTATAACACATGTTCAATTCACACCATCAACCAGGCCTCGTAGCTTACTTAATACTTATATAAAAAAATTGATATTTATTTAAATAGATTTGTGGCTGTGGCTAAAAGCTTAAGGAT